ATTCTCTATCCAACGATGCCAAAACGAATTCTGTGGCTCGAATGGTTCTTGAGAAACTTCGAAAAAAGCAGCGTTATGTTCAAGTGGATTTTGCAGCTCAAAAAAAAATCACGCAAATCTAAAACTTCTTGAATTCAAGCATTTTTTGAGAAAACTGCCAACATTTCCTGATCGATGGTTCACTTTCTAAAAAGGCCATTTAATTCTCTCGGGAATGATGTAAAAATGAGCCTTCTTGCTCATTTTGCTTCCGAGAAACATGCAAAACGGGACGGAAAACATGAAATTTTGCAAGAATTTTTCTAATTTCATAGACAACAGAAGACTGTATTTTTTCTACATACCCCCCCCCTGAATATGAGAATATTAGGTGCAAGATTATGCCAAAGTTTTAAGCTTTCCGTCCCGTTTTTTGCTCGTTTCTCGAAAGGAAAGTGTGCAAAAACGCCCATTTTCACCTCATTCCAGAGAGAGCTAAATAGCCTTGCCTTACCAGAGAGCTGCAAGTACCCACCATACAATCTGACCAAATGCTACCAACTCAGAAATGACCAAAGAAAAAAAACTTCCAAAAAAATTACCGAAACTTCAACACCAAAAATGGCCGCTTTAACATCAATGGAAATTGCTGAGCAAACGCCTACTCTATGAAGTTCCCCAATGAAACATTGGAAAAAAATATTTCAAAAACTGATCTTTAGATTAGAGCCGATTACACATTTCATCTCCATTTTCATATACTGTATAAGTTCGCTTCTTTCTTTGCTTGATTTGCCGAAGTCCTATCGATGGATTATCAACGACTAAAGTTAAAAATCGTTGATAAACACAAAAATTAATTAATTATGACCCGCAGGCGTTGAAGGAGAAACTGGAGGTCCGCATGGGGAACAATGCACCTGCACGATATGCAAGTGCAAGCCATGCTTCGGCAAAATTGAGGCCGAAGAAGAATGCACCTGCAAAGTATGCACCTGCATAGTTTGCAGCAAAAAACGCACGGAAAAGGCAGCTACGGGAGAGAAGGAGACACATTCGCCTGCTTGCACATGCGATTTGTGCCAATGTGGCCCGGACACAGCAGGAGCAGGGGAGGGAAACGTTGCTGCAGGCGCTGCACCTGCCCTGGATCCCCCGCCCTTCGAACCTTTCCAGCGCATTGACTGCAACTGCCAAAAATGCGATTGTATAATCTGCTCTCAGGGTTAGTGTGCTGTGCAATTTGCCCTTCCCCAGATCATCTGAAATCGATCATTTTCAGGCAACGCTTCAGGAGGAGGAATGGTCTTCCGCTCCATGCACCCAGACGATTATGTGGCGCCACCTTTCGAACCTCCAATGAGAATTGACTGCATATGCACCCGATGTAGTTGCGAGTTTTGCAACAAAGAAGGTATATTAAACCATATTGAACACCTTTTGATATTACAACATCAACATGGGTGTTTAGCACCGCAACAGAAATCCGTAGCTGCTCAACCATCGACCAACATAACAACAGGTGAATAGTCAGAGCAAAAACTGTTGCAGAAAGGCACTAATTATCAGTACAGGTGCTGTGATGAAGAAAGCGGTTTCAGTGCAGCAACCCGCACAGATGGCAGGTCAGCAATCTACGCAAATAATCACAGGAAAAGAATCAGCTGCGCATGGACCAGGCTGCATGTGCACCACATGTACTTGCGACCCTTGCAAACAAGATGCTTCCAAGGCTGCTCTTCAAGCAAGCAAATCTGCTACAGGCGCAAAAGTGGAGCATCCTCCCGGCTGCAGTTGTAAGGCATGTGGGTGCGATTCTTGCAAGTATGGGGGTGCAGCTGAAAGCTTTGTGAGCGCGAAAGGTTCAAAGCCTGCTTTGGGAGTTGGAAAATCTGAAGCTGGACCTCTTCATTGCAATTGTCCCACCTGCACTTGCGCTGAAGGTAAGACGATTCGCACATGTTTTTGGAGAGGAACCAGTTTGTCTTTCCAGGCATAATAAAGAACACCATGTTGGACAAGCCGTCAGCAGTAGCAACAGCTGCACAATCTGGAAACCTTCCGATATCGCGGTCGGCTAAAGGTGAGTCCCACTCAATCAATATACTTATGCAGTAACTGACTATACTTTGGTGGCGTTTCCTCAAAACTTGGTCGTTGAGTTGCCTGTTGACCACACTTTCATTCGATGCACAAATATTTTCAACAAACAGCAAAGTTACAACCCGAAAGCAACCAGTAACTACTGGATTTTTAAGCTTCGCTGATGTGCGATTTGAAAGTGCTGAAAACGAAACTG